GTATTTTCATACCCTTATATACAGTATAATGTAAATTATACATATACATATATACAAAGATACATAGAATATCAATATATATGACCAAAAAATAGGTATGTACATATGAAAAAATAATTTAATTATAACACTTACTATATCTCGTGCTCACAAATGTAGGCATGTAAGTATTAATGCAAGATGTTTATCATCTTTAATATAGCAAGGTGTAGCATGAATGTTGCATTGATATTTAGATCTAATTTGTGTAATAATATTGGCTAGTTCGATTTTATTGTAGTAAGTTTGGATTCTTTGGATACAAGATTCGATTTTGATTTTTTAGTTTTTAATTTTGGTATATCTTCATCTGAACTACTGGATTCTTTCTATAAATGTATATACTGTTAAAAATGTGTACGTATGTAATTATTATAACTTATTATAAATGTATATACATACCTTATTTTTTCTTTTTTTATTACTTTTTTTATTATTAGATAATTTTGGTGCAACATTTAATACCATAGATTTACTTGAATTTTCTAATTTTTGATATTCACTAATAAATGTATTATAGTCATTTTTGTTATCTAAAGTCATTGCTTGTCCACAGCCATTAATTTTATAAGAGACTTGAATATTATTTTTATTGAAATTGTTATTATTAATGCATTCTTGAATATGTTTAATTAGATTGTCTTGAAAAATGTTAAAATCGTTTGATTCAATTGTGAACCATTTTGCGGTATTGGTTCAGATTCACTAACATTAATTACAACCTTAACTTGGAATTTTAAATCCAAATTAGAATCTTCCTCTGATAAAACTGAGCCTGTTGAAAAGTCAGAATCATCGTCACTAACACTTATAACCGAAGGATTGCTAACACTTTTTTTTTAGCATGATTACTAATACTTTTACTAGCTGAAGAAACTTCTGTAAAACTTTTTTTAACACGATTATATCGTGAATAACATGTTAAACAAAGATTAAAATTAAACAATTGATTAAAATCACAGTTATGTGCGAAAAGACAATTACAATTTTGAAGAAATAGATTTTGATTTGTTTGGATATTATTAGGATTGTAAATTCTATTAAGGAGTTTTATCACAAGGTGGTTTTTGGTAAGTGTTGCATTTGCATAAATCTTGAGTTAGATCAGTGAAACAGAATAAACAAGTTTGATATGCAAAATATACTCCAATTCTATAAAGTGTCATTTTGGTTTTTTTTTTTTCTTTTTACACAGCGATTCATAACCATTAAATATTTATAAAATTCCATTATTAAAATACATATTCATTTAAACATCATCACTTACCATATAGCGCTGCATATAGTACCCCCCTGGAATAGTATCCTCCTTTTTTTTACAAGCAATTTGTGGTACAGTTTTTATATTAATAGCGCGATCTTTTCATTTGGTTTGATATATTTAATAACAAAGTATATAGTGATCAGTAACAATTATTGTGTTATCCTTCTGTCTTTCGATATTTAGGGGGTATTATTCAATCTAAACCAGCTTTTTTGTAAAATACCTGAGATACTATATGCAGCGCTGTACGGTAGTATTAGTGTTTTGGTATTAATCTAAAGTATCATCTGTGCTTTTATTTTTTTGGTATTGCAAGAATGAGAAAAATTCATATTCTTTATTCGATGTTATTAAGACAATAGCAAAAATATAAACGTATTTTAATATTAAACGATCACTAGTTTTTTTAAAGAAATAAATAGAAAAAAAAAATAGTTACCATTACTAGACAGATTGCATAACAAAGAAAAACCAACTGAACAAAAATTCGTTACTAAAACCAACAAACAAAAATCTGCTACTGTTACTAAACAGAATCAATATCATGACAGGTCACATGATAAGACACCACAACCACTGCAGAAATTGGTTGCTTTTGCATGCAGCTTTATCGTTATTGTATATACGTATATACGTAAAAATTTTTATGCAACAAAAACAAAAATTAGCTACCGTTACTGAACAGAACTGTATAATAAAAAAAAAAAAGATCAAAAATTGTCTATGTAATATTACTAGATAGAGAGCTATAAAATCAACAAAATAAAGCTATTGTAAAATGACATGTATAATGAACAGTGACTATTTACTGTACCCACTACTACCCATAGTTTAAAGTATTTTATACATTAAAGATTATGGATTAAATCATCTTAACAATCGATATATAATTTGCAAACCAAGAATGATATATGTTGGATAACCTGTACTTAATATACCTCATTTTAACCTTGCAATAGAATTTTGTATATATGTATGTATATTTGTATAAATTAACTAACAGTTGTAAAGATATAATTTGATTAAATTATTGGGATTCGAATATTCATTTAGCCAATTTTTTAGTATTCAAATATCTGTTAAAATTCAAAAAAATAGCAGACATTTGTTGATATTTGAAGATTAACTAATTATTTAATATGCGGTATATTATTGCATCTGAAATAGGGATGTAAAATTACAATACATTTGTATAATTTCATTTTCGCTTCACAATAAAGTAGATTTGGGAAAACATAGCTGGAATTCAACATTGTAAAGTGTTTGTCTCTATTAATTCCCTGATAAGTGAAATCCATAGTAACAATAAGAATAATTGACAAAATCTTGTGATTCTGTATTAACATAGTCTTGAGCCCTAATTGATTCTACTTACTCAGACCAAGTCTTTCAATGCCTCGATTGTAGCCATATCACTTTTAGAGTATGATGAAAATTGACTTGCTTTGACAGTTTAAAAACTGCAGAATAAAATCGTCAATAATTTTTTATTTAAACTTAAATCAAGTTTAAAATCAACTGTTTACACGCCATCTTTATACTCACACTTAAAAAAGGTATTCAGTAAAGTAGTATTGTACAGCAGTATACATTCGGATAAACATACAAAAATTATACAAAATTTTGATAGTAAGTACAGTTAATATAAACTTGCAAAAATTAAATAACCATTTTAATGAGATGATCGCTAGTATTGTCCTCTTTCATATTGGATTAGTAGTAAAAATAGCATGGGTTTGGCAAATTTTTTTTCATTTACAAACCATACATGCTATCTTGATTTTCTATACATCTGTTCTAATTTGCATTTTCATACTATACTACTATACTATATACCCTTTTTTGAAACTATCAGAATCAATCTCTAAGATTTGTAATTTACAATAGCCAAAATCATTAATATGTTCATTGAAAGTAATTTTTTTAATGCCATATATAAATGCGAAAAA